GGCAACGGAATCGACGACTTCAGCGTTCTGGCGCGCCTTATCGGCCCTTATCAATCGTTATCAGTTTCTGGCACCCACCAACAATGTCCCCGTCCCACCCCACATAACACTTGTAAGTATGGTTGCTCTGGTGTCAAGGCGAGCCAGGCAACGGAATCGACGACTTCAGCGTTTCGCGCGCCTTATCGGCCCTTATCAATCGTTATCAGTTTCTGGCACCCACCAACAATGTCCCCGTCCCACCCCACATAACACTTGTAAGTATGGTTGCTCTGGTGTCAACGCGAGCCAGGCAACGGAATCGACGACTTCAGCGTTCTGGCGCGCCTTATCGGCCCTTATCAATCGTTATCAGTTTCTGGCACCCACCAACAATGTCCCCGTCCCACCCCACATACACTTGTAAGTATGGTTGCTCTGGTGTCAACGCGAGCCAGGCAACGGAATCGACGACTTCAGCGTTCTGGCGCGCCTTATCGGCCCTTATCAATCGTTATCAGTTTCTGGCACCCACCAACAATGTCCCCGTCCCACCCCACATAACTTGTAAGTATGGTTGCTCTGGTGTCAACGCGAGCCAGGCAACGGAATCGACGACTTTTGCGTTCTAGCGCATCTTATCAGCCATTATCAGTTGCTATCGCTTCCAATCATGTACCACCAATGTTCCGGGACCGCCCCACATAAGACTTGTAAGTATAGACGCTCTCTTACCAATATGAACGGCAAAACGAAATTGGCGATGCTCGCTTTCTAGCCCCTCTTATCAGCTATTATCAGTCGTTATCAGTTCCTATCACGTACCACTTGTGTCCCCATCCCACCCCTATAACATATGTAAGAACCACTGCGCTATCGTTACTGTGACTCGAGCTATGAATTTCCGGTCAAAACACACACACACCACAGACACACGCTAGCCGCTTACATATATAGTGGTAGCTATCCGGAACCGGATGGTGCTGTCACTGCGAGGAAGTACTTTTAACAGTACGTCAAAATACACCAAAAACTCTATCACTTCAACCCAGCGCTCCTCATCATTAAGGTACCGAGAAATTCCTTATAGATGTTCGGAGGCGCAGTACAACCACACTGCTCAAGTTGAACCAGCTGGGCTACAGAATGATGCTGAGAAGATCTTAATCAGTGGCGCTTGCCTGTGAGTGTCATTTTCCGAGACACCGATAGCTCCCTAAATAGAAATGTATCGAGACCCAACATGATGCTGAAACGACCCTCGCTAAGTTCATCGCTTATAGAGCTCCACCTTCTGAACAACCGTCCCAATTGAAGTAATATGTCATTGTAAGATGTTTGAAGATTTTAATGGTTCCTACATCAATTGAAAATGGTTCAGTTTGAGCCCAGGTGCAAGCGTTTGGAGTTCAGGGTCAAAAAAGAACTTTTTAATAGACCTAATGAATTGTACGCATTGATGTATCATCAACCGTTGGGCTCGGCCCTTCTAGAATTTTTTACGACCCCTTCTCCTGATGGCCTCTCAAACCACTACCCCAGTACAACCACCATTGAAGAGGTCTTCAGAGGTCAGAGGTCACTTACCATAATCCTCCCCCCCCCCCTCAGCACTCCATCACCTTAGTTGTTCCTACAGGATTTGATTCTGGTACTATTAATTCTTAGTAGGTGACTAGTGAGACACTCCGACTCCACCCCAAAACTATCGTCAAGCGGATATCCGCATAATTTTGAAAGCGCTGTGAAGGTTTAATTTCGCCCATTCGATGCTATTTCCATGGAAATCTCTGGAAAATTCCTCAAGACCCCTTAAACGATCCTCTGCAAAGGCGACGCCCCTCTCCTACAGATGCGACTCCTTCACTCCACACTACGACAGACTAAGACGAATCCATCCTTTAACGGGTAAAGGATAAGGATAAATTTGAGATGGGGCACGCATTCTACTTCCATTTGTAAATTCGCAGTGGCG